TTGCCCATGTGTAAGGCCAGAATAGTAACATTTACATGTAGCCAGATACTTTTCTAGGTTCTTTATAGTAACTCATTTATCCCTCATAACAATGTTTTAAGATGCAGATGTATTATCCCCCTTTTACAGATGATGGAACTGAAGCACAGAGAGGTTAAGTAATATGCCCACGGTCGCACAGTACAGGAGTTGAAAATTATTCATGGACAAGGTTATTGATTGCAGTAAGCTTGTCAGAACAAAAGCCAGGTGTTCATTGATGGGGAGGGGGGTGTAAAATAAATGATCCCCCAACCTTGCAATGAAATAGAAGCTGTTTAGAGTAATTGTTAAATATAAAGATCCTGCCCAGCCGGTGTGGCTCAGTGAACTGAGCTTCAGTACCCTGGACTGAGAGGTCACAGTTCAATTCCTGGTCAGGGCACATGGTTGGGTTTAGGGCTCAATCCTCAGTGGGGAGCGTGCAAGAGGCAGCAGATCAATGTTTCTCTCTTACATGGATGTTTCTATCTGTCTCTCTAAAAAAAATCAATAAAAACATATTTAAAAAAAAAATCCTGGGCCAGGCTGCCTGGTTCAAATCCCCGACTCTGCCGTATTCAAATTGGGTGCCCCAGGGCAAGTTACTTAACAGCTATCTGTCTCGTTTCCCCATATGAAAAATGAGGATAATAATACTTTTTACCTCATCGGTTGTTGTGGAAATTAAACAAGTTAATGTATAGAAAGCATTTAGACCAGTGATCAGAGAACGTTTTCTACAAAAGTCTGGAGAGTAAATACCTTCAGCTCCTCTGGCCAGACAGTCTCTGTCACAACTACTCAATTCTATAATTGTAGCTGGATATCAGCCATAGACAGTACATAAATTAATGTGCGTGGTTGTGTGCCAATAAAATTTATTTGTAAAAACATGTTATGGACAGATTCAGCCCACTGTCATTTGCTGACCCCTGGTTAAGACTAAAACCTGACACCGCACAATACAAGTGGTTTGTAAATAGATGAACTGTCTGGAACATCACATAGCCATTTTGGAAAGGAATGAGGACAATCTCTATGTATTGATTAGATAAAATCCCCAAGGCGATTATTAAAATGAGGAAAGCAAGGTATAAAGCAGTGGGTAGTATATGCTATCTTCTGTGTTAAGGGAGGAGTGTAGTAAGAAAATAAATTCCCATTCGTTTATATTTGCATAAAGAAATTCAGGAAGAATATACAGTAACTTAAAAAAAGATGTGGTCGCTTATGGGGGAGGGTAGGAACTGGGTATCTGAGGGACAGGACTAGAAGTTTAATTTTTCCATGTATGCCCTTTTATGCATTTTAATACTTGAATGATATGAATTTATTATTTTACCAAACAGTTACATAATTTAAAGATTATATTGGGCTCTCTGTCCCCTAGCATGGAGTTCTTAACCTCAGCACTGTTGACATCTGGGACAGGATGATTCTCTGTTGTGTGTGGCATTTATAGGCTGTTGAGCAGCATTCCTGGCCTCTATCCACTAGATGCCAGTAGCATCTCCTGGATGTGACAACCAAAAATGTCTACAGACTTTGTCAAATGTCCCCTGAGGGGCAAAACTGCCCTGGTGGAGAACTACTGCCCTTGCCCAATTCTTACCCACCGTGTTTTGCTGTCCACCCTCCCGCTACCCCCCCATCCTTTCTAAAAAGACTTTTTAGTGAGGGTTTATCAGGTATCAGACATGTGCTAAGCAGTACTAAAATATCACAAGAATACACCCAAAAAAGATGATGTTTTCATTTACAGTTCACAGATAGGGAAACCAGGGCTCAGGGAGGTGAAGCCAGGAAGTAGTGGCAGCAGCATCTGAACCCAGGTCTGGCTCCTGCAAGCCACCGCCCCCTAGCCACCCTCCTGTTCGGAACTCTCCTGCCCTCTCCCTTTCCTGCCTCTGCCAGTGGCACCAGCATTCACTGAGCTGGAGACCTCGACATCCCACCCCAGCGCCTGTCCCCACCCCAAGTCTAATCAGCTCCCATGTCCTGGTGGGTCTTTCCCACAATGACTGTTATATTTGTCCCTTCCTCTTCATACCCAGAGCCTTAAAGTTTTGTCTCTTCAACCCAGAATTTGGAGCCCCAGAGAACAGTGAAAAGAGTTGGGTTGTCTGGTTGTCACTGTGGCGGCTTGCGATAGCATCATCCACTCTCTCTGGGCCTCAGATCTGAGGGACATTCCAGCTTGAAGACTCCCTCTAATCTGACCTCACCCATGAACCATTTCCATCAGCCAGGACATCCACTGCCCTGCAGTACAGCACAGCCTATGTTGGCGCTCACCCTTTCTGACCCCAGGCCCTTGGCACTGGTAGTACTCCCTACCAGCAGCACCGTTTCCCCGATCCACATGGCTCGTTCCCTCACTCTCCCCAGGTGTCTGCGGAAATGTCACCTTATGAGTGAGGTCTCCCAGACCCCCTATTCAAAAGTGCAGCCCCACACCTGAGTCCCCTTTCCGGCTTTGTTTTCTCCAGTGCACATAACACCTTCTGACAGTTTGTTTCTTTTCTTGTTTTCTGTCAGTCTCTCCCACTAGAATGCAGGCTCCAGGACAACAGGGGTTTGCATGTGTCCTGTTACCATTGGCTTGGCACCATGAACAGGTGCGACAAACATCGTAATTATTGACAAATGAATGAATGTCTAAATACGCTCTTCCTATCCTCTTCCCTGGAAACAAATGAGCAAAAACAGACGAATTATGAAAAGGAAACAAAAGAAACTGGGAAGCAGCCTAATTCCGGCCTCCATACCTTTCTTATGCCATGGCCCCCTTCCCCTCCTACACCCTTCAAAAACACCCTCCCTTTTTTCTCTGCCCTTCTACATTCCATGGCCCTGGCTTACATCTGTTGACAGATAGGAACTTGCAAATCCAGTGAGACTGTTTTTGTGGCACTGCCCTCTGGCATAATGCTTTTGTTTGTTTGTTTGTTGATCCTCACCCGAGGATATTTTTCCATTGATTTTTTTAGATAGAGTGGAAGGAAGAGGGAGAGAGAGAGAAACATCAATGTGAGAGAGGCACATCGACTGCATGACCCTGTCCAGGGCAGGGGATCGAACCCACGACTCTTCTGTCCTGCAGGTCAATGCTCTAACCACTGAGAAAACTGGCCAGGGCCCTCTAGTTTAATGTTTTAGCTTTCCGCACACATCCCCACTGTGAACAGGGCATGGGGTTGAGCTTTGAAGGGAAACAATATGGGCAGGGGCAGGAGGGCACAGGGGATCAGGGAATATACCTGACACAGCTGGATGCAGGAAGCCAGAGCAGAGAAAGCTCCTACTCACTCTTCAAAACCCAGTACAAATGTCTTCTCTTGCAGAAAGCCAGGCTTCCTCAGGCAATGTCTTGTCTTGGCTCCAGTACCCCCAGCCCAGAGATCTGTCTCTCTACCACAGTCCTGACAACAGGGGCTGCAGATGTCCGGTTCCATCTCCCCCAGACTGGGAGCAGCTTGAGGGCCAGGCCTAGGCCTGCGTCCATGATATTGCCCAGATCACAGAATTGGGGTGGTCCCTGGAGTCCCTGCAGCTGCCCTCCTAAACATTAATGCCACAGCCCCTTGCTTTTCATCAGAGAACCAGCTTTAGGCAAGATGCACACAGGGGTGGAAGTTCATCCTTAAGTCTATCCAGTTTTCCCATTAGCTGCTATTGAAGCCTCAGTGGGGACCTTGCCTCCCTGTAGATCTGGGGCCGGACAGGTGCTGGAAGCCAGAAGGAGACAAGCAAATATAGGCAAATTCAGGATGGCCTGTGGCAAGAAGGGCTGGCCATGGGGGGTGGGGGGGGTTCTCTGGAGCTTCCCCATTCCATCAAGAATCCTGCCTGGGCTAAGATGGGGGTACCGCCCACTTCTCCACCCATGGCTCTGTCCCCAGGAAATGCTCCCAAGGACCCCCATTGGCCCCACTTCTTGAGCAGTCACTTCCCCTCCCCCCATCTGCACATGGTACCTCAGATCAGAGAGGAGGCAATGGATGCTCCAACTGCTCCCCCCACCCCCAAGCCTACATCTCCCATGGACAAGCCTTTCATCTAGGCATTGAGCCTAAGGGCTGGCCTGTGGATCCCCTCACCCCCATGGCAGGCAGGGGACTCCCAGCCCCAACACAGCAGCATACACCATTTTCACCCAGCACTCCAGCAGCCAGAGAGAACCAGAGAAGGTGCACCAGAGAGAGCATCCAGTCCTGTTACCTCCCCCACCCAACCACATTCAAATAGGGACTTGAATGTATTTCCTGAGCCGGGGGCGGTCATAGTCAAATCTGCTTCCACTGGACCCTTAGCCCTTACAGAAATCGCTACTGAGAAAGAGCAGCTATTTCTAGGCTCCCAAACCCCAAAACCCACTCTCAGGGGATCATGACCAGGTCCTGACTCAATGTCCCCCAGGGGATGGAGGGAGCTAGGAAAAGCAGAGCCCTGGGTCACAGCCCCCCACCTGACCCAAGCTGCCCCAGGCCCAGGCAGGAAGCCAAGGGGAAGGAGATGTGAGGGGAAGGAAGGGGCCCAGGGCACATGTGGGGAAGGAGGTGGAGGAGGCCCCTCCCCCATAGCCAGAATCTGGGGGAGGGGGGTCTAAAAAAATCTTCCGCACCCCGTTGGCCATCCAGGACATTCCTAGACACTACCTCAAGACTCCCAGAGGATGGCACCTGGGGCCTGGACACCCAGTGAAGTTAGCCTGGGACTAAGGAGCAGTTAACCTCCAGCTTGCCAGTTCTCAGCCTAGATTTGGGTTCACTGCGAGCCTATGAACCCATTCCTGTTAACCTGGAGTGGGTCACCCCAGAATTTCGGTGTTATCATCCACACATCCTCCTGTCCCTTAAGCCAGCCGTGGAGTTGGCACCTACCCCTCTGCATTGCCGGCCCAGAGACACGGTGCACTAAGCCAGCCTAGGATGCCCCCCACTTCCAACCCTCGGCCCGACAGCCCGCGGTGGGCTCACCTGGGACATCTGGGGGCGCAGGTTGACTTCGCGTAAATTGATGGCGTGGGGCATCAGGTTGTTAAGCAGCTGGCAGAGAAGGACCCCATCCCGAAGGGCCTGCGCCAGCTCGCACACCTGAGCCCCATCCCAGGTCACGCGGTGGCTGGGCGGCAGCACCCGGCACTGGATCAGCCAGTGGGTACACTGTCGCCACAGCTCCATGGCTGCTGCCTTCCCGGGCCGGCCCGCGCACCCTCGCAGCCTCCGCCGCCCGCCCGCCCGCCCGTCTGCCTGCCTGTGCTACTAGCTACCACTTCCTCTTCTTTGCCTGTAACTGTCGCCGGGAGAGGGGGTGGAGGAGGAGGAGCCGTGGGGGTGGAGGGGCGGGTGTAGCACCTGCTGTCCAGCCCCGCCTAGCCCAGCCCCTTCCGTGCGAGACCTCTCTTGCCCCCACCAACACAACACCTGGGCACCTGGGAGCAGGCAGGGGCTGCCAGTGGTCAGGCTAACTGACAGAGGCCGACTGCCTTTCTCCATCCAACCCTTGAGCATTAACACCTGAAAGCACTCAAAATTCGCCCTCTGCTCACCCCTCCCCTCTCTGCCTCTACCCTGGTCCATCATCGCTAGCCTGGACCAGCGCTGTCTCCTCTGCCCTGGTCCCTGCGCTCCCGCCCTCTTCCTCCACAGCCTATTCTCCCCACAGCAGCCAGAGGGCGCCTAGGAGCAGAGTCAAGTCAGGATGTCACTTATCTTCCTCTTTGGAGTGAAAGTGTTCCATGCAACCCACAAGGCCCTATGACCTGCCCTCTCCTCCCCTCCCTGCCCTCAGCTCCTCCACACTCCTTTCTCTCACTTGCCACACAGGACACCTGCTGTTTCTCCCACAAGTCAGGCGTGGTCCTGCCCCAGGATCTTTGCACATGATTCTCCTCTGCCTTAGGCAACTTCATGGCTAGCTCCCTCACCACCTACAGGTCTTGGTTCAATGTCACCTTCTCATGAAGTCTTCCTAAACCTTCCTATTTCAAATCACAGCTGTTTATCCACCCCATCACACCCTATCTCTACTTTAAGCCCTAATGATTGTCAAAACTGATATTTTATTATCCTATTTCTTTATTGTCTATTTAGAAATTTGTCTCTTATGTACTGCTGGACATGACACCCCTCTCCCCCAGCCCTTGTACATATACATGCTCCATAAATATTTGTTGAATGAATGAACTAATAAATGGTTGAAAGCTCTATTGGCACTAATCTGACATTTATCCCAAATCCATCCATGCATCCCCAAGGCCCTGGTCACTATCATCTCTCTCCTTATTGACTTTGCTAGTGTCCTTCATTAATTGACTCATTTAGCAAACATTTACTGTCTTCATGGCCCTTACCACCTGAAGTCACCTTGTCCATGCAGTCTCTCGCCCCACTAAGTTGTGAGTAACCTCCCTTCCCCCCACCTCAATCTCCCTAGACACCCTTTGCATTTTTGTTGCTGTTGTTAAGCCTCACAGATTTTTTTACTGACTTTTATTTTAGAGAGTGGAACGAAGTGAGGGGAGAGATGTCAGTTGGCTCCTGCATGTGCCTCGACCTGGGCCGGGAATTGACCTGATGCAACCCAGGTACGTGCCCTTGATCAGGAATCGAACCCGCGACCTTTTAGTGTGTGGGCCGACACTCTAACCACTAAACCACACTGGCCAGGCTACATTTTTTTTTTTTTTAATCCTCACCCAAGGACATTTTTTCATTTTTTTGTTCAGATAGAGTGGAAGGGAGAAAGAGGAAAAGAGAGTGAGAGAAACATTGACGTGAAAGGGACACATCGAATGGCTGCCACCCACACGACCAACCAGGGCCGGGGACAAACTGCAACCGAGGTGCATGCCCTTAGTGGGAACCGAACCCGGGTCTCTCAGGACCGCAGGCCGACGCTCTAACCGCTGAGCCAAACTGGCCAGGGCAGGTTGCATTTTTAAATCTTGTAACCACTAGGGGGCGCTATGTCCCTTTCCTGGACCTACCCTCTACCCTCTGACTGCATCAAAATTAGGGGAGAGGGGGTGGTCAAGGAAAAAGATACTGCCCTCAGCCCCTCCTGAGTCTCTCTTCCACATGAGGGCGGGGAGGGCAGGGCAGCCTACCCTGGAAATTTCCAGCTTTGTGATCCTACAGTTACCAAAACTCTTCATCCCCAAGCATCCTTGGCTTTCCATGAGTCAATTTCCTCATCTGAAAAATGGGTGACCATTTAGAATTGTGGCAGGGATCAGAGATGGTGGGGCTGCCACGGTGAAAGGGAGGAAGACAGGATGGCCCTCCAGGGCTCCACGCTTGAATCGACCACTCACAAACCGGCTCAATTTGGGCATATGGCTTAGCTGTCCGGTGCCTCCGTTTCTGCATCTGGAAAATGGGGGTGATGAAACTGGTACCTACCTCACTGAGTGGCCTAGGTAAAAATTAAATGCGTTGGGGCAGGTCAAACAAGCCGTACAGTCCTGGTATACAGCCAGTGCTCACGAAATGTTAGCTGCGCCCACTGCTTTCTTCCTTTCCTTCCTCCCTTCCTCCCCGCTCCACAAACCTGGCCAGGGGTGCTCTCTCTAGTTCCTGATCCCCCCTTCTCATGCTTGTCTCCAAGCATCACGATGGAAGCTCCCACCCGGAAAACCACCGGGTCTTTCCAGAGTCTAGCTCTACTCCGTCCTCACTGGGGGAGGCTGTCAGGTTTTCCTGCGTCTCTCCACAAAACCCAACAGCCAGCTGGGGTTCCACTCCCGGAAACCCAAGGGGGCGGTCTTGAGGAAGCGCACCCCTCACGTCACAGCTGCCACCGCCCCCGCCGAACGAGAAAACTGAGGGGCCGCCCCGCCCCTTCCCGGAACCCTGAGGGGCCAAGAGAGAGATAATGAGGGTAATGGAGAAGCCCAATTCTAAGTTTATGTTTATTAAAGCTCACCCGAGGATATTTCCCCCCCCATTGATTTTTAAATATAAAGTGGAAGGGAGGGGGAGAGAGAAACATCCTGTAAGAGCCACACGTCGATTGGTTGTCTCCCACATGGGCCCAGTGGGTCGGGGATCGAAGCTACAACCCAGGCAGCGCCCCCGACCGAGAACCGGACCTACGACCCTCGGTTTGCTGGCCGACACTAACCCATGGGCCAAACCAGCCAAGGTGAGAAGCCCAATTCTAAGAAGCAGGACAGAGAGACCGGGAGGTGAGTGGGCGTGACCGTCGGAGGAGGCGGGCGACGTCCTAAGGGGACCGGACGCTGGAAGGGAAGAACGGAGTTTCCCAAGGTGGGTGGTCTGTGAGGATGGAGGTGTGATCCAAGGCGACACAGTTAGAACAAAAATGGTTCTAAGGGGGCGGAGCGGGAGGAGGGGCGGGGCGAAAGCCTAGAAAGCTACTGTTGGGGGCGGGGTCTACAGGGGGCGTGCCTTGAGGGGGCGGGGTCCGGGGCCTGGGCTTGGTGATTGGGTTCGGTTCCCACCTGGCCTGGTGGGAGGTGCTCTGAGCCGTAGAACCTCAGGCTTGCGGTCCGCCCCAGCCTCTAGGGAGTTCCGTGGGTCCGGGCCCAGGTAAGTGAAGGGCCCCAAGTGGATCCAGGACCAGGGGATTATTCCGGTGGGGAGTCCTCTGTTTTCCAGGTGGGGGCACGCAGGGAGGATCTGGGTGTCTATCCACGCGCGTCCGCGGACGTAGAATGGGTCGCCGAGAGCCTGACTCGGTTGCCGTGCATGACGCGTGTCCGTGTACCTGGGAGTGCTCCTCTAAGAGTGTTTCCTTTGCAACACGGAGATTCTCACTGCTTCCACTTTTGCTTGACCTATCTTTATAAACCACAAACCAAACTGTGCCCCTTCCTCACTCAAAACCCATAGCTCCTGTTCCATCCTACTGAAATGAAAATTTGGGGTCCACCAGTTCCTACATGGTCTCACCCCTGCCTACCTCACTGCTCTCCAGGTAGCTCTTTGTTCACTGCATTCCAGCCACACTGGCCACCTTGATAATGTCAAATGTAAAAAGAAGCCCCATCTCACCTTTGCATTTGCTGTAACCCTCGCTGCGCGTGCGCGCACACACACCCCGAACTGCTGTTTCTCCAAATCTTTGCATAACTGTCTCCTTCCTGTTACTGAAGTCTCAGCTTCAATGTCTTCTTCTGGTAGAGACCTCCCTGAAGTATCCTGCCCCCTCCAGCCATCTTATACTCTTAGAATTTATTCTTGTTTTGTTGTGTCTTGTCCACCACACAGTGAAGGGCAAGGGCAGGTCTCTATCTTCACTGTATTTCCAGGGTCTAGAACAGCACACGGTAAGTGCTCAACCAGTTGGTGGTTGCTCATTGTCAGGTTTGTCCATCTGTGTCCATGTGTCTCTGGGCTGGTGGCTGCTCCCTGTGATGTGTACACGTGTAGATGGTGTATAGGGCATGAACACACCCTCCTTCCTTTCCTCATGCTTGCCCCTACCTCACCCCCTCTCCTGATTCTGTCACTTCCTCTCACCCAAATATCCAGAAATTATTCCAAAAGATTCAGGGCAGGAGGATGACTTAGCCTGTGGCTGACCAGGGTCTACCCTGAGCTTTCCCACCCCCAACTAACCAGAGTTTTGTCAGTGACCCACCTGGATGCCCACTAAGGGGGACTTGAGACAGAGGAACCTGGAGTTGGGGGACTCTTAAGATGGAAGCTAGGCCTGGCCCAGGTGATAAACAGGAAGTGCACAGGCATTCAGGAGACACACCTGGTGTTCAGGTATGCATTGCCTGGAGCCAGCTCCCCACCCCTAAAGTCACCTAGGGCTGGCCTGGGAACTTCCTGTCCTTTTCAGGCCCTCAGCTAGGCTGACTCAGGATGTAAAAATCCTGGTGCTGTTTTCCTGCAGACCCTGACCAGGCCCTGAAGACCTTGTAGGGTAGGGAGAGTGAGAAGCAGACCCCTTGCCTCCTTATCTAGGGCGGGTTTTCTCCACCAGATATTTAAGACAGTCCTGCATGTTGATCAAGGGAGTCCCAAAGTGTCTGAGACCTAAATTTGACCGAAGTAATAATGAAATGTATCAGCTCCAAAATTGTATTTGCTGACATTTCTACAAAGATGTGACCTTTTGCCCTGGCCGGTTTGGCTCAGCGGTTAGAGCGTTGGCCTGTGGACCAAAGAGTCCTGGGTTCAATTCTGGAGAAGGGCACATACCTCGGTTGTGGTTAGTTTCTGGCCCCAGTTCAGATAGTGCTGGTGGCAACCAATCAATGTGTCTCTCTCACATCGATGTTTCTCTCTCTCTCTCTCTCTCTCTCTCCCTCCCTCCCTCCCTCCCTCCCTCTCTCCCTCTCTGTCTGAAGATAAATGCAAAAACATCCTTGGGTGAGGATTTAAAAAAAAAAGATGTGACCTTTCAACATCCTTAAATGTCATGTTACATCAGAAAGCCATGCATAGGTTAGACTTCCTTACATCATAAGAATACTTTTGTGTGCACAAGGATTGCTTAGAAGCTATGGACACTAGTAAATTGAATTACTTCTGGCCTGGAATGTTCTTTCACCCTGAAAACCACCAAGCTTGCTTCCTCAAATCATTCCATTTGTACTGACCAAGACCTTCCCAGGCTACCAGATGGAAAATCTGAACTCTACCATTAGGGTCTTCACATCCCATCCCTGGTTACATCTTTCTGCTTGGCTCTCTCTGACCTACCTACACACTCATCTACTTGTTTATTTTCTTAATCACTGTCTCCCACACTAGAACGGCAGTGGTCTCCAGTCCGTTTTGTTTACTGCTAGGTCTCTAGCACCTAGAACAGCACCTGGCACACAGTGGGTGCCACATAAATAGTGGTTTGAGTGAATTAATTAAATTTCTACAACAAAGCATTATGCCATCTGCATAAAATGCCATTACATTTGAAAGCAGTGCGTAGGTCTTCTTCCTTTACAAGAATCCCCAGTGAATGCATGGCTATTTCTAATAAATCATAGCCAATTTTAAATTAAAGTTACTCGTAGCCTGATTTTATATATATATAAAACAGTTGACTCTTGAACCACATGGGCTTAAACTGCATGGGTCCACTTAAATGTGGATTTTGTTCAATAAATACTGTAAATGTATTTTCTCATAATTTTCTTAATAAATTTTCTTTTTTGTAGTTTACTTTATTGTAAGAATACAATATATAATACATATAACATACAAAATATGTGTTAATTGACTGTGTTATCGATGAGGTTTCTTGTCAATCATAGGTATTAGTAGTTAAGTTTTAGGGGAGTCAAAAGTTATGTTTCCTTCCTTCCTTCCTTCCTTCCTTCCTTCCTTCCTCCTGCTTCCTTCCTTCCTTCCTTCCTCCTGCTTCCTTCCTTCCTCCTGCTTCCTTCCTTTTTTCCTTCCTCCTGCTTCCTTTCTTCCTTCCTTCCTTCCTTCCTTCCTTCCTTCCTTCCTTCCTTCCTTCCTTTCTCCCTTCCTCCTTCCTGCCTTCCTTCTTCCTTCCTCCCTCCCTGCCTTCTGCAGGGTCTCAGCACCATGTGACAGGGAGTCCCTCCCACCCTTGTCCTGCTGGAGACTCCTGGGACCTAGATAAGGGATTTAGGATCAAGAGCAGTTGGAAGGGGTTGCTGGGGGACTGGGGACTGTCTTGAAGCTTGGTTGGCGTGGCATATCACTCCTTGTATTTAAATTATCACTTTCCTCCCTCCCTCCTTCCTTCCTCCTTCTTTCTTCCCTCCCTCCCCCCTCCCCCCCTCTCTCCTGCCCTCCCTTGTCCTTCCTTCTTTCCTTCCTTCTTTGTTTTTCTCCCTTCCTCTCCCTTCCCCTCCCCTCCCCTCTTCTCTCCTCTCCTTTTCTTTCCTTTCCTCTCTCTCTCTCAAAAAAAAAAAGAAAGAAGAAAAAAGTTATGTACAGATTTTTAACTGTGCAGTGGTCAGTGCCCCTAACTCCTGCATTGTTTAGGGGTCAACTGTAACCTAGCATAAATTTATATATTTATATCTATATCTCTGGTGTGTATATATATATATGAGTAACTTGTTTAATTTAGAATATAATATATATTCATATAATATATACATATACAGAGAGAGAAATGCATTTTAAGTTTTGATAGGATAGGGGTTGCTGTCTCCAATACTAAGAGTGACACAAAAACAAATAAAAAAAGAAAAAACTAAAAGCATGGAAGGGCCAACCTAACCACTCAAGAAGCAGGAACATTTATTTCCATTTTACAGACATGGAAGACTAAGGCCTGTTGAAAGTGCAGAGCTCAGCCCCAGCATCCACTGCCCCCAAAAGCTCCATGCAGGTGCCACGGGATGGAGAGGACTTTGCCAGCCAACCCTGGTACCACGGCCCCCTGTCCCGCCAGGTACTGCCTTCTGCAGGGTCTCGGCACCATGTGACAGGGAGTCCCTCCCACCCTTGTCCTGCTGGAGACTCCTGGGACTGAGATAAGGGATTTAGGATCAAGAGCTGTTGGAAGGGGTTGCTGGGGGACTGGGACTGTCTTGAAGCTTGGTTGGTGTGGCATATCACTCCTTGTATTTAAATTATCACTTTCTTTGTGATAGTGTTGAGGATGGTAATGGAGATCAAAGAAGGCCCTAGCTCCCTCAAAGCACTCCTTGGCTCTGCTTGTCTCTCTTTCTCTCTCTGGGTCCCAGGCACCTGTGGCCACCAGGGCCCCGTCTCCCTCTCAATTCAAGGCTCCCCACCCTCATCTTCAACTCAGGTGTCAACTTCAGGAGTCCTGGAACCCTGGGCATACAATAAAACCATGAGAGGCAGTATAGCTTAGTTATTAAAATCCCACATCCTAGAGTCAGACATCTTGGGATTAAATCCCAGTCCTACAATTTACATTCTGTGTGACCTAGGCTAAGGTAGTTAACCTCTCTGGGCCTCAGTTTGCCCATCTATAAAATGGGAATTATAGTACCTACAGTTGAACTTTGGTAAAGGATTAATGAGTTCATATGTTTTACACCTAAGGCAGCACCTGGCATCAGTAGGGCTATACATGTGTCCACTGCATATATTGTCCAGTCCCCAGCCTCTATCACTAGCTCTGCTTTGCAACTCTGGTGTCAGAGCCCTCAGCACCTGTTTTCACACTAGCCATCACAGCTATCAAATGACAGCTTGAAGTTTTTATAAAGGAAGATTTATGGGCCACACTTGAGGAGAATCCAACTAATGGCTTATTTTGAAGCCATATTTGCAAAGCAAGCCAGTGAATTTACTCAGATTGAAAGTTGTACCAGTCAGCATTGGCTAGTAGCTATAACAAACATTTCCAAGATGTCACTGGTTAAATACAATCACATTTAAGGGCTTGTTTATGTCACAGTCCAAGGTGGTTGAGGGGTGAGGATGTGGAGCTCCAGAAATCAGTCAGAACCTAAGTTCTTTCCATCTTGTGACTCAGCCTTACCCCAGGGCTTTGGTGACATCAGCTGACAAATAGGGGACAGAACCTATAGGATTTTGCAGGAGGGTTTTTATGGGCCAGGTATGCACAGTCCCCACTCCACTTCTGCCCTCATCCCATTGGCCAGATCTTGTCACCTGGGAAATGTAATCCAGAGGCTTGCCAATGAGAAAAGGGTAAATGGTTTGGTACAAAACTGCCCAGTCTCTGGGATGGCTTTCCTTGGGTGGGGGTGGTGAGGTACCATGAACTACTGATCTGGGCTCAAGCCTAAACCCCCTTCCCCCTCTTCTCCATCCCCAGAAGGCAGAGGCTTTTCTTCAGCGAGATGGTGACTTCTTGGTTCGCACATCTGGGTCCCGTGGGGGCCAACCTGTGATCTCCTGTCGCTGGCGGGGCTCAGCCCTACACTTTGAGGTGCTCCGTGTGGCCTTGCGTCCCCAGCCAGGCCGGCCCACAGCCCTCTTTCAGCTGGAGGATGAGCGTTTCCCAAGCCTGCCTGACCTGATTCGCAGCTATGTGACTGGCCAACGTCCACTGACCCAGGCTACAGGGGCTGTGGCCTCCAGGCCAGTGATGCGGCAAGGACCTATTCCACGCAGCTTTAGTGAGGACACCCTCTTAGAAAGCCCATCTCGGATAGAGCTACTCAGGTACTCACAGGCTCCTGACCTTCCTGGCGACACCCAAAACCCCTGGGTGTCTTTACCTTGACACTATTGACACTTGAGGCCAGATCATTCTTGGTTGGGGGGGGGGGGGACTGTCCTGTGCATTGTAGGATGTTGAGCAGCATCCCTGGTCTCTATCTATTAGATGCCAGTAGAATTGTCCCCATCCCACTTCCTAGTTGTGACAAACAAAAAGTGTCTCTTGACCTTGCCAAGTCCCCTGAAGAAAGAGCACCCTGTTTGAGATCCAGTGGTCCTAAATGACTGTAGGTAGGGTCTGGGCATTGGCGGGGACTGCCCTGCTTAGGCTGGGACTACACAGCTACCCCATCTCTGTCCCCCAGGGCTAGGAAGTGGAGTGACAGCCATCCTTCAGGTTTGGAGCATGTGGGGCAGTCAAGAGAAGGCCACTCTGAACCAGGTGAGAGAGTCTGCCAGGACAGCCTGTGGCTCAGAGATTTCTTTGCCCCTCATTCCCTGAGTGATCTTGGGCAGGTGATGTAACCTTTTGGAAAATGATGCTCTCAAAGTTGTCATGGTGGTTAAAAAGCATATTGGAACTTAATAGGTGCTTAAAATGCGGGTTTACAATTATTCTAAGAAATCCTATGTGTTCTGACCATGGCTGACCTCTCTACCACCCCTGCCATATGCCTTCACTTCAGTCACAAAAGTCTTCCCTTCAGTTTCTAGAACACTTCAAATTTCACCTCAGGGCCTTTGCACTAGTTATTAGTGCCATTAGAAAGTCCATTCCCCTAATCTTTTTCTGATTCCTTCTCACCCAATATGAGTTCCTCAAAACAGCTTACCCTAATCATCCTTGTCCCTCATGCCCTGTCTGCCTCATCTGCCCTGTCTATCCCTGCCCCATTCAACATGAGCCCTCTCTGTGTGCCAGGCACTGTATTAGGTGCTGAGATTCTTCAATGAACAAGAAAAAGATTTCTGCCCTAATGAAGCTAACATCCTATTAGAGGAAGACAGAACAAAAAATAAGTCAATTATATATGATTTGGGTTAAAAATTAAAAGTACAACAGAGTAAGGGAGACTTTAAACATTTGTCAGGAAAGACTCTATGGAGAAAGATTTTGAGGCGGTAAGGAAGGGAAGGATGTGGATAATGGGGGTGAGAGTAGCCAAGGCAGAAAGAACAAGTGCAAAGGTCCTGGGGCCAGGACAAGAGTTTGAACTACTCATGCAACCAAAAGGATATGAGTATTGTTGAAGCAGGGAGAGTGAAGGGAAAATCAGGAAGAGATGTGGGGCTCAAATTTTGAGAACATTTTTGGTTACTGTGAGGACTTTGGCTGGTATTCAGAGTGAGCTGTGAACCATGGGAAGTTGTTAATCCCCTAAAACAAGGTCTATTTAAATGCTTTGTAAGTACAGAATCTCCGAAAAGTCTGGGTGCATCTTTAAGTTCTAATAACCTTGAAAGGAAATATGACACAAACTTAACAAACAAAATCATTTGAAGGCTTGATAAATTCTGTTGCTTGGATGTTAATGTAGTTTTGTGAATTTTGGTTAATATGCTTTCATTTTAATTTTGTACTGTCAATGCTTTACCATCTTCAACCAGAGGAACAAAAACCAAGGATTCACATTTAAAATGTGGTCTTCAGAATTTGCAAGACTACTTAAGTATCAAAGAAAGTTTATTTTCAAACCATCGGTAAGTGTGTAGCATTTATACTAGGGAAGATGTTAAGGTTCAAAGTGAAATGAAGATAGGTAGGGATACCTGGGTATTGACTGAGTTAGTGAATGAACCAGGAACCACCCAACTGTCTTCTCTGGGTACCTCCTGCACCCCCTCTTGTATGACCCCCAGGAGCCTCCACTGTGCCCACATTTGCCCTGTCTAGCATGGGTAGTGACCCTGTGCTGCTGAAGACTCTGGCTCCCCTGGGATCTATTGGTGACAGCCTCAGGGCCTCAGATGGGCAGCTTCATGCCAAGGCGCCAACCAAGCCACCTCGAACGCCTTCACTGGTGCTGCCTGATGCCTCTGAACAACCCTCAACGTACTGTGAGCTAGTGCTTCGAGTGTCCACTGCCCAGGGTACACCCCCTGGCCACAGATGCCCAGAGCCAGAAGCCCCATGGTGGAAGGCCCAGGGGGAGGAGGAAGAGGAGAGATGTTTTGCCAGACCACGGGCAGATGTCTCTTTCTGCTGCTCAGACAACCCCTCTGGCCTGCTGGGCCCCCAGAATCGGCCCCTGGAACCCAAAGTCCTGCGTGCGCTCCGTGGCCTGTTCCTGGAACACCATCCTGAGAGCACTGCCCTCCACCTGCTATTGGCAGACTGTCAGGTGAGTTGCATACCAGATCCCTTCTCCCCAGGCAGGTGCGAGGCTCAACTGCACCTCATACCCATATACTTACTCTGTTCACTTGTCCTCCCCACTCCCCCCTCAACTCCTCTGCCCCCAGGCTGCTGGCCTACTGGGAGTGACCAAGGCTAAGTGGGATGCCATGGGGGTTGCCTCTGGCCTGGAGCTACTCACGCTTCCCCACGGCCATCGCTTGAGGTCAGAACTGCTGGAAAGGTGAGTCCAGGTGAACTGCTGGAAAGATTTCCAGATCTCCAAATCTCCCCACTCAGGGGGAGGTGGATGGGCAACGCCACCTCCCGGTCCTTCCTCACCCGGAAATACAAACTTCCCCGCTGCCCCCAGACCCTTGCCCTCTGCCTCTACAGGCAGGAGGTGCTGGCGCTGGCCGGTGCGCTGGCGGTGCTGGGCTGCACGGGGCCGTTGGAGGAGCGCACAGCCGCCCTGAGGGGTCTGGTAGAGCTGGCACTGGCGCTGCGTCCAGGGGCGGCGGGGGACCTGCCTGGACTGGCCGCTGTCATGGGCGCCTTGCTCATGCCCCAGGTGCACGGGGTGCAGGGATAGGGAGGAAGCATGAGTGTAGGTGATGAAGAAGAGGAAGTGCGCTCAGGGTTCTTACCCCAGGTGTCCCGGCTGGAACGCACATGGCGCCAGCTCCGAAGGAACCACACCGAAGCCGCGCTGGCCTTCGAGCAGGAGCTGAAGCCGCTGATGCGGGCGCTGGATGAGGGCGCCGGTGAGTGGCATCATTTGGAGGCGCGTACCAACTCTAATCAGAATTCTAATCTAGTCCCTAGACCAAGTCCCTGCTTCTGTCCTTAGCTCCTCCCTTTCACCATAGGCTCCGCCCCCTCCACATTCGGCCCCCTTTGTCCTAGGCCCCGTCTTCCTTACTAGACTGGGTTTGGAGCCAATCCCTAGGCCCCGCCCTCACTGTGTCTTAGGCTCCACCCCTTCATCGTAAACTCTGCCTTCTGCACCCTAAGCCCCACCCTATGCTCTAGGCTGGGTCCTGGCTCTAATCGCTAGACCCCGCCCCTGCCCTATACCACGCCCTTGACTCAATCCACTTCTGTTAGGCTCAAGCCTGCCTGACCCAAACCCTGCTGGTTACTTTAGCCCTAGGGTGCCTGGCCCAATGCCCCACCCTCTTCACCCTAGGCCCTGCCCCCTGTCCCAAGCCCACCCCAGACCCTTCTTCCCACAGGACCCTGCGACCCTGGTGAGGTGGCGCTTCCTCACGTGGCACCCGCAGTGCGCCTGCTGGAGAGCGAGGAACTCCCGGGGCTGGGGCCGCTGGACGAGAGTTGCGAGCAGCTGCTGCGCACCCTGCAGGGGGCGCGTCAGATAGCCCAGGACGCACTTAAATTCCGTGAGGCCGCAGCCCAGCGCCTGCAAGGTGAGCGCCCCCTCTGCCCCTTCTTCGCTGGGTGCCAGAGGGTCCCGATTTTAAGAGCAACCTGCATGCTCGAACCTGGTGCCTCCAAACTGAGCCAGGTACCATAGCCTTCAGTCACGCCTCCCAGAGTCCCAACCAAATTGGGACAGCTCCCCTCTGGGAACCCCCAAGACTGCATTGCAATGATGACAAATACCCTACACCCAAAAGGGGCGGCCCACCCCCAGGGTCACGCCTATGGGTCCCATTCCCACCCAACTTCCTCCTAAGTTTGGTCACACAAGGTGGCCCAGGCTCCCAAATCCTGATCCTGGGGTGGCTCCATCTCCAGCCACAGCCTCTAAGGTGGGGCCCCTAGCAGCTCAAACCCGGAACAGAGAGTTGTCTTCTGGCACCCTGGCCGAGCTCACCTCCACCAACCCCGCCAGCCACGCCCGCCCTCTCCCTTCCCCCGCACCTGCAGAGGCCCATGGAGCCAGCTCCCCGCCAATCACACACAGTCGTGCGGAGTACTGGGGGCAGAGTTCCTTCAGGGCCCTGCGGGGTCAAAGTACCCAGGGGAAAAGGCAGAAGTGAGGAGGGGCAATGTAGGTGCCTGGGTCCTGGCCCCAGCGCCCCTGGCCCTTCCCCCAGGATTCAAACCTAACCCTGAGCTGCAGGAGGCCCTGACAACTGACTTCATGCGGAAGTTGCTCTGGGGGAGCAGGGGAGAAGGGGCTCCATGGGCCAAACGTCTGGAGAAGTTTCAGCACGTCCTCAGTGTCCTGTCTCAGCGCCTGGAGCCTGACTGCTGAGAGTGCAGACCTCCTTCTTCACACGGGAACACCCAGACTTCTGGTGACCCCAGTGGGAGACCAAGGAAGTCATCCCAGATTGCTCACACAGCCAAACAGGGTGAGGACGCACACCCTGACTTGAGTATGCCAGGGGCCAGGTTTGCAAGAAACCACCCTGCCCCAAAAAATATACAGAAATCCTGGGGTGAGGGGCAGCCTCCTCCCTGACAGGAGACCATCTGGAGGCCTTGGCTGCCCTCTCATGCCCCCACCCCCACACGTATCCCACAAGTAGTGATCATGTAGCTTCTAATGATAAGAGAACTTTCAGCTCTTTAAGAGGCCAGAGTTCAAATGCCTTTTAAAAGTGTGACTGTTAGCAGATACTTACCCTCTGTGCCTGCCTTCAGCATACAAATGAGCCTGTGCTTTCTAGGGGTTATCTTGGGAATTAAAGCTTAATATTTAAATGAGATAATGGGTGGAGAAGGCCTAACACACAATAGGTGCTCAATAAACACTACCTATTCTCGGTAAGCTGCCATGAACATGGAAGGGATGATGGTTGGCACCCGTCTCCCTACATTGGTCACAGACAAGGACCCAACTCTCAGGAGGGGGCAGGGTGTATCCCAGGTGTGCCCAAATTCACCTCCCCTTCCTCATTCCCTCTGTGGCCTGTAAGGAGGGTGGTATTTGAATAGCCAGTCCCAGTATCTAAATCTCCAAATAAAGTATGGACTCCAAGAACTTTACATAATTTTTTTTAATATATTTATATATAAAACAAAACAGCCCTAGCCAAGTGGCAGGAAGAAAAGATTTAAAACATGAGTATGTACATCAATGGTAGAAGGCACAGCGGGTCCATCTGAGGTGAGGAGTGGGGTGGAGGTGGGGGGCAGCAGGTTACACAGGTCTCAGCTGAAGCCACGGGGGCAGAAATAAAGTGCATAGGTCCTAGGGCCCCCCGTGGCCCAGAAGCAGCAGCCAACAGTCCCCCTCCTTCCACCTCTGGCAGGGTTCAGTTGAGCGTGACTCGGAGGTAGGAGGTGGGCACATAGCCTTCGCCTCCCTGTTTCCGCCTGACCCGAGTCCAGCCATCACCTTTGTCCTCTTCCATGAGACTCAGGTCTTCACCCTCAGCCATGGAGATGGTGCCTTCACTGGACCCTGTCATGGGAGTGATGGTGGGCTCATGTGAATTTAAACAGAACCTAGACAGACACCCCCACCCCTACCCAAGCAACTGATGCTCACCTTCAAACTGGTAGATGGCCACACAGTGACCTATAGGGGATGCAGACTCCTCCTCAAAATCCTCATCAAACTCTGTGTAGATGGGGGTATCCTGGCCTTCCTCCAAGGGGGGCTCTTCAGAGCTGTAGGGGAGAGTAAAGAAGGTGAAGACAGGCCTCCCATGCCCCAGGGGACAGACCCACTGTGGCCACCCCACTTACCTCTCCTTGTTCTCCTGTGATCCACTGTTGCTGCTGCTGCTGCTGTCAGGTGGGGCGCTAGCTGGGGGGTCTGGAGGCCGGGTATGTCGGCTCAAGCTGTCCCCCCGGTTGCTCAGGACCCGGCTCTCAGCTTCTGCCAGCCAAGCCTGAGAGGAGGGGACCATTGGTCAGTTCCAGGGCAAGGCTCTGGGGTCAGCCTGCTCTGGGCTCAGATGTTTTCTAAGATCACCCATGCACACCCAAAGCTGTGATGAGAAACAGCTGGAGCCTCCCCACAACACCTCCCTGTCCCCCAGGCAGTGACTCAGCCAGACTGGTCGGCCCCCGCCCCTCCCCAGGGTCTTCCCTGACCTCATATTTCTGCACTTCCAATTTCAGCCGTTCAATGTTGTTCAGGGTTTCTGCAATCTGGGGCTCCAAGCTGGCGGGGTCCCCCATCTGGGGTGTCTTTTCATACACGTCCTTCATTTTCTTCAGAGCTTCCCTAGGACCAGACAAGCCAGACTGATGAGAAACAGCCACATGTGATTTAACATGCAAAAAATATGGGCTTTGCTTCATGAATCCAATAGCCAAAGACGGAGGTTACCCTGGCTGGTTTGGTTCAGCAGTTAGAGCATTGGCCCGCGGACCAAAGAGTCTCAGGTTCAATTCAGTCAAGGGCATGTGTCTCGGTTGCGGGGTTGCAGTTTGGTGCCCGGCCCTGGATGGGCTCATGCGGAGGCAACCAATGGATGTGTCTCTCTCACATTGATGTTTCTCTATCTCTCCCTCCCACTCTGTCTGAAAATGAATGGAAAAACATCCTCAGGTGAGGATTAAAAAAATAAAAGACAATGGTTAAAGCTTACATACTAGTGTTTCACTGCCTGGCCTTGAATCCCAGTCTGGGCATTTCCTCGTTGTTCAGTTTGGGTTGTTACTGAACCTGTCTCAGTATGCTAACCTTGAAAATGAGGATAACAATACATACATCTCATGGGAATGGTTATGAAGATTAGAAAAGTGCCTTTATTTATTCAGATACACATTGAGGGTTGCATGGCAGGCACTGTTCTAAGCAAGGCAGTCAGGATCCTGCCTCTGCTCATACAAGGTCTCTCAGGAAAACTTGGAACTCCAGCGAATCCATGTAAAGGGTTTGGAATAGTGCCTGGCATTCGGTAAGTACTCTATAAATGCCAGGGGTTATTATCATCAGTTCCTGGTCCCTACCTCCTCCATGACTATATATATATATATAAGCAGTAATAGTTATGAGCATAGATTTCTGGAAAATTCAAACCTGGGTTCAACTTCTTTCCAGTCCTAATATGAACCATGTTATAGAAGCAGAAACGGAGGCACAGAGAGGCAAAACAGCCAGAATTCAAAGCCAATCTGTCTCGACTCCAGAGCATGCACCTTAACCCCTACACCATAAAAACTCAGGAACTATGACATTCCTAATGGAATTTACACCAATAAAAGCCATTTTGTACAAGATGGCAAAATATAATTTATTTGCCTGTCTGCAAGTGGCAAACGTCATTTCTATTATGTAAGGACTGGGAAGAGAATCTTGCTGCTTGGAAAGAATGAAAGAATGAGTAAATTTTTCTTTTTTTAATCTGGCAGATATTTTTATTGTTAATATTTTAAGTGTCTGAGTTAGTAAACAGATAACCATGTTTTTTCTTTTTTAGTCAATTAATGAAACTGACTTTTTTTTTATTGAGCCATCTTTGCATTAATGGAGTAACGGGGTAACACCCAACTGCTCATGATTTTTAAAAGTCTTTTTAAAAAAAATTTATTATGATAAAATATACAGAACATAAAAATTCCCATTTAAACCATTTTTGGTTCATTTATGGCAAATGTACAGTTGCATAGCATGACGTACATTCACACTTGTGCAACCATCACCACCGCGTGACGTATTAGTTTTAAAATACACCACTGGATTTGTTTGGTTAGGACTTTGCTAAGATCATAAAGTGAAGTAAAACGAGACCATTTTATATTCTTGAATCCTTGCTAACTGATTTTGAAATTGAGATTCCACCAGCCTCCAAAATGTGCTGGTGGCGTTCACTCATTTTCTGTGTGTTGGAAGGAGTTGTATAAGATGGGAAGTAACTGTTTCTTATAAGTGGGGTTGGAATCGCCTATATAACCATCAGGGCTTGGGCTTTGGGGGAGATGTTTGAGTACCATTTCAATGTACAGACAGTCCCTGACTTACCACGGTTAGACTTACGATTTTCAACTTAACAATGGTGCAAAAACTACACATTCAGTAGAAACTATACTTCAAATTCTGACCTTTTTTAGGGCTAGCAATATGCAGTATGATACTCTGTCATGATGCTGGCAGAGAGCCACATCTCCCATTCAGTCACATTCATGAAGGTAAACAACCGATACCATGCAACGTAGTACTAAATGCATTCTGACTTTCGGTACTTTCAATTTATGATGTGTTTGTTGGATGTAACCCCATGTAAGTCGAGGAGCCTCTGTAATTATTATTTTATTTTCTTCTTTACTGCCTCCCTCTCACCTTACCTCTGGTCAACCTCCTTCTGTAGTTCACGATTACGTTCCTCCAGCTGCTGTTGAAGCCGCTTTCTCTGCTGCTCTGGGGGCAAGTGGCTAAAATCCTCAGTCACCACTGTCTGCGAGGTAGAAAGAGAACCGAGTTTGGGATCCTGGAGTCTCAGCTTCCAGGCTCTAAGACACTCATAAGACACACCAAGTCCACCTTCCTCCCCACCCAAGGCTCTTGGGGGGCAAGGCCATGCACTGAGCAAAGCAGGTCCGAATCACGCAACGGGAAGAGAGGGTCCAGCCAGCAGCAGGAAGCGAGCCCAGGGTCCCGCCTCCCGGCCGCTGGGCAGGCTGGGGCCGCCCCCTCCTCCTCCCCTGGAGGCCTCACTTACCCCACGGCTGCCTCGAAGGCTGCGGAAGGATGCTAGCCGCGGTTTGACAGACTTACTGATCTCACTCAGTATGGCCAAGGGGTCGAGGCCGGAGCGGGGGGACGGGGGTCCATTAGGCAATGCCGAGGGCAGGGGGCCCCCCAGGGGGGAGAGGGGTGGGGGACGCGGCTACCGGTGGGGACCGTGGAAGAGGTGCGTCAGGAGGGGTGGGATAATACAGAGAATGAGTACAAATGTGGACGGATGGAGGGACGCAATAAAGGAAAAAATGAAATGGAGAAAAGAAAAAAAACGGTAAGAAAACCACAACTCAAGATGAACAATCACACACAGAAAATGCATGCAAAGAACACAAAAATCTGGGAGGTGGCAGGGAGGATATTAGACTGTGAACCAGAAGGCCAGACCCCTCCCTCCCCCAGTAATTCCCACACCCCCTGCATCCCATGTCCAGCACCTAGGATGGGGTCTGAGGGTGCAGGGAAGCCCATGTTTCTGCTCCCTGCGACCCTAGCTTTCTGGGTTCACAGTCTAGAACGTGGATAGAGGTACATGCAGAAATCAAGGTCTCATACAGATATGGGGCCACAGAAGTCAAGGGCAAGCTGAGAAAAGGGTCAAAGGCATGAAATATCAGGATTACAGGTGGGGTTTCAGCCGGGTAGGGGGAATGCCATACATAAATTGAAGTGGGGTATTAAAGACCAAAGGTATAAACTAGGGAGGGGTAGTTGTTGAAGGTATAAACCAGGAGTGTCCTAAACCAGGTATGTGCTTGACATTGTAAAGCAAAAAACCCAAGAAACAGCCTGAAAGTAGGGGCCCAGCCCCGTAAGTGGAATGGAGAGACCCAGGGGGAGTCCCCAGGGCTAGCATCTGAGCCCTCACCCAGGCCTAAATCCCACAAGTAGGTCTTCTCCTAGCATCCTGAGAAGCAGCAGACAGATACCACAGCCGCCACCCCCCTTTCCTGGCCCCGTCAGCCTCAGGGGACTCCCAGGCCAATCACCACTTTCCCTCTAGCCTGGGCCGGCAGCCAAGAGGAAAATTCCTGCCCAGGACTCATCGTTCCAGCGGCTGGGACTGACTCAGTGCCCCCCCACCCCCCGCAGTCCCCACTCACTCTTATCCCCTTCCCAAGAGCCCCGGCCCCCACCTTGTTCTTCTTGCCAAAGGGCCAGCGTTTGGCGCGGCTGCGGGCTGGGCCTCGCAGCTCAGGCCGTCCATCTGAGGGGGTGCCCAGGCTACTGTCCGAGGGTGCTCGGTTCATGGGCTGGCTGAAATCTTCGAATTCCACGTCGCCAGGGCGGGC